ATATACACATATATATATATATATATATATATATATATATATATATATATATATATATATATATATATATATATATATATATATATATATATAAGAGTTTAGGAAGTGATAATGTTAATTGATAATGGGTTTAGGAGTATTATTGTTTTACAAGCTCCTGTTGTAGATTTCCGAAAATTAAGTCGTAACGGACTGAACATTATTTTACAGCTCTCTACAAAATGGCATTTACCATCTACAATCGAATGCTTCCACAGAAAAATATCCAGTCTATTGTCACATGACTGAGATTCCCGGATGTGGAACAGGAGGCTGGACACTAGTGATGAAAACAAACGGTGATTTGGTAAGAAAATATCTGACCGGCCTAGCTCCCGCGTCTTCAAAGGATCAGTTGCGCCTTTACTCGCACAAATAAAGGTTTTTAACTTGGAAATGTTACTTGCAAATCAACGCGTTCTTGAAATGAAAAAGATATTTAGGTTTGAGACGCTATTGCTCCGAGTGTCTCCGCAACGGGCAAGTTGCTTGATCAAGGTACTGACCAAGATCTACTCGGATATCTTTATTTAGATAATTAAAATCAGAAACTACTCGATAGTCGAACCTCATTTTTCCCATTCCGTCTTCGCTCTTCGTAAACTTAACTTGTTTTCTATTCCTTAATTACACAGAGTACATTTACATATGATTCCCCATTGTGGACGAACAATGAAAGTTATGCAGTTGAAAATGGACTTGAAGGACTAACGGAGAAAGAAAGTAAACTGGCCTCTTATTGGAACACTCCTTTCAAGAAAATATGTCTTGGTATGACCGTTAACGCCGACAGAAAATGGATAATGTTAGATTACGAAGCAAGTTCCCTGTGCAGTGTGATCGCAGACGAAAAATACCGAAGCACAACCGCAGGACGACCTGCATGGAAATATCTGATCGCGGGCTCGTCGTTACAACTAAATTGCAATGAAGAAGGTTTCAGCATTGCATATAATGCAGTGAAAGTACGTATTGGATATTACGCGAACAACCAAAACCATTGCAGATGGTCAGATTCATGTATTGGATTTGGTATTACTTACACTGCTTGTCACATAACATCTCACATTACATGTGGTAATATTGCGCAGTGCAATGATAATGATAATGGCCATAAACTGACTGCGGCATTTGGATATATTTTAGTTCAGTGAGTGAATACAGTGTATATATAAAGTAGATTTAGAAATAGTACATATTAGTGATAACGCGTAAAGCTACCTAAACATATAACTTGCTCGCATTGTGTAGAGGCACACACGCCAACCAGAGTATAGTTGACTGCAAGACAGCATTTTATCAAAAACGTAATCATGCATGCTTAGATTTTACTGAATATTTAACTGTGATATTGAAATATTAAAAAAGCAAAGACATAAAATTTGTGCGTCTATATGTACTTTCAACAACTTGTAAAGGTCTTTGAACTTCACCGCTACATGTAGTTTTTTATCTGCTGAATCCAATAAAATTATAATGCAGACAGTTACGAGTTGTTTTATACGAAAAGTCAAACTCTACTTGAATGTTTTGAAAAGTTTTCACACCGATTTTCATACTACAAAACTAAATTTAAGAAACGTTGGATTAAGTCAGTGCGTTATTGTGTTCTCAATGTTTCGTATTTTGAATACATATATCTTTTATTTTCATTTCAAATAAATAAAAAATATCTGTGTGATACATATAAGCCAAAAACTCAA